GGCAAGTTAACGACTTGTTTACTGGGCGTTTTTCTGCCGTTTCCATAACGTTAACGCGACGTTTTTTGTGTTGACCGTTTACTGGAGATTAACTGGCCGTTAACGGGCCGTTTTTTTGGACCTGGGTTCCCATATTAGAAGGCCATGCTCAATTAGAAGCCAGTATGAAGCAAAACTTTTGCAAAATCTTCGTATAGATATCGCCAGAGCGATTTTTCTAAAAACAATGTTGAATATATGAACCAGTCTTCTTATCTATTTCAAATCTTTTCCACGTATTTACACCATTTTAGAAAAGAAAGCAGCTGAACAGGAAGTAAAAGTGTGTTATCAATGTAAAGGAGCACAAAACTGTAAACCGGAAAACTTACACAAACAAGAATTAAAAACATCAGGAGCATTTGGTGGTAAAAATCTTTATTGTTATTCGGTATGTGTTATCTGGACGCTCACTTATTCACTCTTAAACTCATTTATGTGACGATTTATATATTTAGCGATTTGGTGGAAAAGTTGGACATGGAAGAGTTGTTGAACGTGGTGCGTTTGGATTTGGTGAAACATTTGATAAAAATGTAAAATGTAATTTGAAACATTTTCGATGTTGCTTTCAGAATTTATGTAATAATCACACAACTGGAAGTTGTGCTGATTAAAAACTCCGACTGTACTTAAAAAACTAGTTCATTAGTGTTTTTTAACTTGATTGTTTTTATGTTTAATCCGACGCAGGTTTTATTTTAGTTTAATTTCTGAATTAGCAATATTGTAGTGTCATTTAGATAATAGATCACATGGTACTAGAATCGATAAAACGTTATCTCTGCTTAACAACCAAACGAATATCCTTGCTAAAAATTCTTCTGTTTCATCGGTCAAAAGAATGTTTCCTATAACGAGATTTTAATCATTAAAAGCTGAAACACAATATTGTAATTCAACACCCATAATTCTGTTACTAATCATTCTAGAATGTAATACAGCTTCAAATTCTTTAAATATTTTTTAATAGAAACCAAATAGGATCTTGTGCTTTTCGCGTGTATTCAATGTCCATGTGAAAAATAGTTATTAGACTAAGATACCACCCACAACTACCATTTCAACATGATACCCAAACCACGGCGCATAAACTCACCTGTGCTGGTGATTAAAACTAAGGTGCAGTAAATTCAAATGTTGAAGAGAATTTTCTTCTACTATTTT